TCCACAACAGATAGAAAATGACAGATAAAAGGCATTAGGCATCTGGATTTATTTTTTCCCCAAATAACACTATGAGGTAGGTGTTCTTTCTTTTTGTTGTGGCTGTTGTGGTTTTGAGATAAGGTCTCCCTGTTGCCCCATCTGGCCTGGAACTTGCTATGGAGACCAGGGTGGCCTCCATCTCACAGAGCTCTGCCTGCCTTTGCCTCCCAAGTGCTGGGATTAAAAGTGTGCACCACCAGGCCTGATGAAGGTAGGTGTTCTTATCTCTTTCCACTAATGAGGAAATTGAGAAACTGAGAAGATAGTGATTTGAACTCAAATAATCTTGCTTTAAAAGCTTCTCTCTTATCCAGTGGGCAGTTCTGCTGAAAGTTGCCTAAATTGTGTTCCCTTCACTGACTGTCTCAGGATCTGAAGCAACACATTTTGTTTGGACAATGTCTTTCTAGAGGCCAGCTTCTAGGATAGTCCCAATGTTCTCCCTGCCTGGTAGTTACAGCCTCAAAGTCCTCTCCCACACACACTCTACCAGGGTTGGTTTGCATGACAGACAGCATATAGAGGAGCCATCCTGTATCACTCCTAAGACTTGGCTACAGATGGCACTGTGACATCATTTTGGCCACTCTCACCCCTGGATCACTTGCTATGGCTGTGAGCTGCCATGCCATGAGCAACACTACAGAAAGACCTTGATGGTACACAACTGAAGCTTCATATCATCAGTCACAAGTGTGAGCATGCCAGTGTATCCTCCCTCCCAGTCAAGCTTCTAAATGACAAGGCCGCACTCAGCACCTTGATGCAATCTCAGCAAAGACCCTAAGCCTCAAAACCTATCTATAAGCCTGGATTCTGCCCTCAGAAAACATAAGGTAATAAATATTTATTGTTTTAAGCCCAGGTTTCAGGATAATTTGTTACATAGAACTAGACAGAAAATATAGGAACTATCTCAAATGTATCTCCTATACACTTGCTGCTGGAGGCTGTCTGGCCTTATGTAACACCCATAAATATGTATCACAAAATACCAAAAGGGGGTAGGGTGGCTTCAGTTAGAAACCTCAGAACTGCTACCAATTCTCTCCTTTGATACTGAAGCCCAGTAAACACAATGATTTCAGGAGGAGGCAATTCTTGGACTTGGCACGCCCTTCTCAGTCACTATGCTGACATTCACATTCCTCGTCTTGGACTTCTCTTGTGTGGATGAAGGATCCATGTATGGGTGAACTGATCTATTGATGAAGAACCAAAGCAGCCAAAAAAATACAGACCTTTCATTGTTTACAGTAATGAGGCAGGCATGCAGAGGGAAGAGCTTAGCAACCTGGGACTCCACTTAGTTCATACTATGCACACATCCTTCTCTTAATGCACTTGGCAGCCTAAGACCTTTACCTACATGCACTATGCACACACACCCCTACTCCAAAAAATGAACCTCCAAACAATAACCCTAACAACCTGTTAGCAGTCTAGGACCCCTGCCTGCATAAAGCCCATGCGCACTCCTCTCTGAACAAGGGAATAAGTTTCTCCTTCTCTTGATGACCATCAAACTTAAACAGATTCTACTCAGTTGTACTCTAGCTATGTCCAAATATCAACATAGGGAGGCCAATATGGCCTGAGATTAGTTTGGGGTGCATGCTCAATAAGACAAACTGTATCCCCAAAATGAACTTTTGGGGAGACTATCTTATCTTCTTATGCTAATGTATAAGTGGGCATGCATATGATTAAAATCAGATATATTATAAGAAGGGACATATGCAATGTGAAAAGATGCAATCCAAGCCTGCCATTTATTGAGCACTTACTATGAGTTAAATGCTATCCTAAGTGACTTACATATACTGTATCCACTCATTTATCTTTATTCTCATTTTACTTTGTTTTTCTTTTTGTTCTTTTGAGACAGGGTCTCACTACATAGCTCTGACAGCCTGAAGCTTGCTATGTTTATTTACCAGGCTGGCCTTAAACGTGTAGCAACCCTCCTGCTTCAGCCTCTCAAGTTTTGGGATTACAGGTGTGAGCCACCACTCCTGGCTTCATTCTCATTTTCTAAATGGCAGAGCTGAGACACAAAAGGTTAAACATAGGCTTATGATCATTACATGTAGAAGCTGGAATTTGAACTCAAGAAAACCAGTCCACTGTTAAGCACTGTGTTAAAATTCTTGTGACAGAAGTTCCAAGAACTCTCAAGGGGAAGACAGATGATTTCAAGGATTAATATTCACAAAATGAAAGACAAAACAATTGACAGTGAGCCGGGCATGGTGGCACACGCCTTTAATCCTAACACTTGGGAGGCAGAGGCAGGGGGATCTTTGTGAGTTCAAGGCCAGCCTGGTCTACATAGTGAGTTCCAGGACAGCTGGGGCTACAGGGAGACCCTGTCTCAAAAAGACAAAACAAAACAAAACAAAAAACAAACAAAAAAAAAAACCACAATTGACAGTGAATTAAACTTATCTTTCTGCTGAACATGTTCCCCTAACCCTGGAGACCGAACTTGTCAGGAAATTACAAAATATCCTGGAAGTAGACATTTCCCCCACTCCTTAAATAATCTTTGTTCAGAATGTGTATCTGGGTTGCATTGTTTTATCAATTATATCAATTGTAAATCTGTAGGTGGCATAGTGCAATAATATGTACATATAGTACATAATGATCAAATCAGGTTAGTTAGCATTTTCATCTTCTTAAACTTTTTCATTTGGGAATTAAAGAGCTTTCTCTTAGTTTCGGTGTTATCTATCCAGGTAACAGGACAAAAAAAATTCTCTTAAGCTTTTATAATATCTTAAACATTAGTAATAGCAAACCATGTAGATCTATTTATCGTTTTAATCACACAGTCTCACAAAGTTCTTTTAAAAATTAATTTATATTTTTATGAGTATAGTGCTTTGTCTGCTTGTCTGTAAGTATACCATGCTCATACAGTGCTCTTAAGGTCAGAAGGGATGCCAAATCTGGAACTGGAGTTATAGATGGCTGTTCATTAACATGTGGGTGCTGGGAACCGAACCTAGATTCTCTGGAAAAACAGTAAGTGCTTAACCACTGAACTATCTCTCTAGCCCTCACAAAGGTTTTTCATTTATTTTATTTTATTTTTTAGTTTTTGTGGGGGTTTTTGAGACAGAGTATATAGCTCTAGCTGGCCTAGAATTCTCTATGTTGACCAAGCTGGCCTATATCTCACAGAGACTCACCACCTCTGCCTCCTGAGTGCTGAGATTAAAGACATATACCACCACACCCGGCCTACAAAGTTCTTTTAAGTGAATTTGTTAAGGATTTTTGGTATGATTGCTTGATTAAGACAGTTTATACACCAGATTATAGACGAGACTGAAAAGTTCTCCTTAGCAAAATTATATCTTAATTAAAATAGTCAACAGAGCTGAATGTGATAGAACAGGCCTGTACAGTGCCAGGACTCAAGAGGCTGAGGCAGGAGGATTCTAAGTTGCAGCCCTAGGCTACATAGTGAATTCAAGGTCAGCTTGTACATAATAAAACCTTGTCAAAAAAAAAAAAAAAAAAGGTTGCTCAAGAGCTGGTCTCAGAGAAATTCTTTTCTCTAAAGTGAAGGCAGAATGTGAAATTTAAGGATTTGAGCCTTTGTGACTGGAGAGATGGCTCAGCAGTAAAGAATACTGGCTGCTCTTGAAGGAACCTGGGTTTGATTCCCATCACCCATATGGCAGCTAAAAACTGTCCCTAATTCCAGTTCTAGGGGATCTGATGCCCTCTTCTGACCTCTGTGGGCATTGCATAACATGAGTGCACTTACATACATGCAGGCAATACACTCATACACATTAAAAAATAAATACAAATAATATTTTTTTCTGAGAGAGGATCTCCTGTCTCCCTGTAGTTCCAGATGGCCTAGAACTCACTGTGTGGACCAGGCTGGCTTTGAACTCACAGAGATCTGCTTGCTTCTGCCTCCCGAGTGCTGGGATTAAAGGCATGCACCACCATGCCTGGTAATAAAATATTTTAAAAAAGAATTTGAAGAATCTGGGCCTTGACACATGACAAAGTTTTTGTCTTTGAAGCTCAGTATACTACTGGATGTGATGTAATAACATCTCAAAGTCTCATTTATAAATCATAGAGTGGCCTGAGCTGATTTACAGGAAGCACTTAGCCTGTGGAAGACATTCACAAACTTAGTACAGAGTAAATAAATCCTTGGACTTGAACTGTTTCAGTCATGGGCCCTGTAAAACAAAATTATGCATTTTACGTATTAGCAATAGGAAACATAAATCATTTTATTAATACTTTAGAAATAGAGTCTCATGTAGCTCAGACTGGTTGCAAACTTGCTATGTAGCTGAGGATGACCTTGAACTTCTGATCCTCCTGTCTCTATCTCAGATGTGTGGGATTTAACAGGTGTGAGCCCCTACGTCTGGTATTATGTAGTGCTGGGGATCAAACATGGGGCTTTGTGCATGCTAAGCCAACACTCTACCAACTGAGCTACATGCCCAGCCTGAAAACATCAACTTTTTTTTTTTTTTTTTTTTTTTTTCGTCTTTTTGAGACAGGGTCTCCCTGTAGCCCCAGCTGTCCTGGAACTCACTATGTAGACCAGGCTGGCCTTGAACTCACAGAGATCCGCCTGCTTCCGCCTCCCGAGTGCTGGGATTAAAGGCGAGCGCCACCACGCCCGGCATACACACAAAATTTTAAAAATACACAAATAAGAAGAAAAATCGAGAGATCTGCCGCTTCTCTCCTGCAAAACAGGACTTAAAAGCCGACGTAGGTGCTAGGGACCCATCTAGGCTCCGCCCCGTCCCGCTCGGCGTATCAGGGCTCCCAGCACCTGCCTGCATCTCCCATGCGCCTTCTGGGCTGTCATTCTTCAGAAGGCGGCCTTTGAAGTGCGAATCCTTGTGCACTGCGGCGGCTGCGCCCAGGCAGGAGGCGGGACTTCCGCTTCCTCCCGCATCTGTCAGTCAGAAGGCGGAAGCCGGCGCGGGCGGGAAGGTTGTAGTGCGGCGCATTGCCGCGCTCTCCTGGTACCCAGTGGTCGCACTACCCTGGCCAGCCGCGGCCCGACAGCGAGGCCTCCTAGAGCCCTGGCTTCTGGGTAAGTGGATGCGAAAGGTGCGGGAGATGGATGGAGCGTGGCCCCGCCGACCGGCTGCGACTTTCCGGGTAGCCGCGGCCTCACGCGGGGGCTGCTCACTTCCCCGGTGTCTTTGGTTTCGCCCACCGCGTCCCTGACCCCTTCACGAGATGGTCCTGCACGTCTGAGCCCCGCTTCGCTCACCCTGGGCTCCAGCCGCACAGACGGGGATTCGTCTACACCCAGCGTCTGTGGTCTGGTCTGGGCGGGTCGCTGGCTGGCTCTCCCTAGGCATCACGCGTCACTGTTAGTTCTCCCTCCGCAGCACTCTAAACGCCGTTTTGTTTTGTTTTGTTTTGTTTTTTGGGGTTTTTTTTTGAGGCTGGGTCTGGCCGTTTAGCCCAGGCTGGCCTCTCTAAACGCCGTTTTGTTTTGTTTTGTTTTGTTTTTTGGGGTTTTTTTTTTGAGGCTGGGTCTGGCCGTTTAGCCCAGGCTGGCCTGTGGAACTCGCGATCTTTCTGCATCAGCCTCCCGAGTGCTGGCATTACAGGTAAGCACCGTTCTTTAAGAGCGCATTTGTTAAACTTTTTTTTTCCCTTCCTGGCATAGTTATTTGAATAACACCATTTTCCCACTGGGTTTGAGGGTAAAGAAGGATCTTGCTTATTTTGTCTCTAGTACAAAAGCATTAAGCTTAGAGATCAGCAGGCGTGGAGCTGGCTCAACGGGTAAGAGTGCTTGCAACTCAAGCATTAGAACTTGAGGTGGAATCCCCAGCGCTCACGTAAAAAGCCAGTGTGACTGCAGTGCTGAACCCCAGGGAAGACAGGCAGGAGGATCGCTGAGGATTGCTGCCGTCAGCCTAGCTCCAGGTTCAGTGAGAGACCCTGTTTCAAGGGTACAGGCCAGAGAGTGATAAAGCAAGGCACCCAGGGTCCTCCTCTGGCTGCTCACACAAATGACCACTCCTCTTCATACACCACCGACACTCACAAGGAAACCAGCAGTCCAGGGCTGCCTACTAGTTTTGTGACATTGGACTTCCATATCTATGTAAATGGTCATAAATATGAAAAGCAACAGTGTATGGTGCAGAATAGGTACATCTTAATGACATATAGTAGACTAATGCTAAATGTTGGTATTAACATCAAAAATGAACAACATTCATTTAATAAAAGTACATGAGGCATTTGCAGAGGTAAATTTGTGATTTAAGTCTGTGCTTTTTAAATGTATAGGAAGAGAATAAGGGACTGCAAATAGCCTAGCTGTTCTTAACAAGTTTGAGACTGTAATGAAAAGGCCAGTGCATTTTATATGTGCACATAAATTGTTTTACAGATGATTGTAAAGTGCTGATCAGTGGCCACTGAATATAATTGAAACAGAATAGGAAGATGGCAGCAAATCCTTCAGGACAAGGTAATGCATGCTGGAATTTCTGTCACTACTAGGAACTTTCCCCCCATATAATAAATGTATTTGAAGTAGAGAGAATTTAGTCTAGAGCAGTTACTGCACCCAGAATTAAAAAATGAATAACAAAGTCAAACCCCAATTTAAAATTAGTCTAACATTTTATCAGCTACACATTTTTAATATTCTTAATCCTATATTTTAATCTGTGTTAACATTAGTGATTCACATTGTAAACTTTTCTTTTTCTATTTTGTGTGTGGGGTATGTATGCATGTGTATGTATTTTGCATGTGTGTGGGTGTATATGCATGTGAAGACATGAGGTTGATGTTGGAAGTCACATACCCTTGTCTTCCACCTTATTCAGTGAGGCTGGGTTTCCCTCCCTCCACCTTCCTAGGCTGGAATTACATGCTCACCTGCCACTGACTTGGGTTCAGGGATCTGACCTCTGGTTCTCATGCTTGCGGGAACAAGTGCTTAACCACTGAGCTATCTCCACAGCACACATTGTAAACTTTTGTTCTCTGACACCTGTGTTCTCTTGTATTTTTTACTTGAAATTAGAAATTCTTTTTTTTTTTTTTTTTTTTTTTTTTGGTCTTTTTGAAACAGAGTCTCCTTGTAGCCCCAGCTGCCTTCCTTTGCCTCCCAAGTGTTGGGATTAAAGAAGGCATGTGCCAATGCCCAGCTAGAATCACTTTTATTTATTTATTTATTTTTTGGGTCTTCTTGAGACAGGGTCTCCCTGTAGCCCCAGCTGGCCTGGAACTCACTATGTAGACCAGGCTGGCCTTGAACTCACAGAGATCCACCTGCCTCTGCCTCCCAAGTGCTGGGATTAGAAGTGTATGCCACCTCGCCTGGCAGAATCACTTTTTAAAAAAAAAAACAAAATTGAAAAACTTTTTTAATTATTATTATTTTTTAATGTGTATAAGTGTTTTGTCTGTGTGTATGTAAGTTGCACCTGTGTCATGCAAAGCCTGCAGAGGCCAGAAGAGGGTGTTGGATCCCCAGACACTGGAATTATGGATGGTTGTTAGCTACCTTGTTGGTGCTGGGAATTGAACCTGGTCCTCTGCCCAAGCAGCCAGTGCTCTTAACAGCTAAGCCATCTCTCTAACTCCCAGAATCACTTTTTAAAACTGTATTGTCCTCAATAATAACCATGCTTTTATCTTCATTGCAATAAAAACTTTAAAAAATTATTTATTTATTTATTTATATGTTTTGCCTGCATATATGTGTACCACATTCCTGCAGTGCCTAGTCTGATCTTGAACTTGTGATCCTCCTGTATTAGCTTCCCAAGTCCTAGGATTACAAGTATGTGTCATCAGATCCAGCTTAGAAAGTAAAATTTAATCTTTAGAAGTATTAACTCTTGCTTTGTAACTATTTTCATGCTTAAATCTTGAAGCAAGCCTCTTTCCATATTAGGTCTGAACTCTTGTTTGACTTTTATGTATGTTTGACCCATTGTGGGTCAATGTTCCACTTATGGCCTTTTTTTTTTTTTTTTTTTGTCTTTTTGAGACGGTCCCCTTGCAGCCCCAGCTGGCCTGGAACTCATTTTGTAGACCAGGCAGGCCTTTAACTCACAGAGATCCTCCTGCCTCTGCCTCCCAAGTGCTGGAACTACAAGAATGCACCACCACACTCGGCATTGATGGCCTTTTTTAACATTAAGTTAGAAGGGTTCAGATTAAAGTAATTTGTGTTTGATCCTCAGTACCCCCTTCCCCAAAGAAAATTGAAACATGGGGCTGAAGAGATAGCACAGCAGTTAAAAGCATGTACTGTATGCTCTTCCAGAACACCCAAAATCTGTTCCCAGACTCATAACTCCAGTTCTAGGGGATCTGCTGCCTCTGGTCTCCACAGAAACTTGCACTTGTATACACAGACATACATGTGTACCTATAAATTAAAAAAACAAAATCTGTAAAAATGGGGCTGGAGCCGAGCATGGTGGCACACGCCTTTAATCCCAGCACTCAGGAGGCAGAGGCAGGTGGATCTCTGTGAGTTCAAGGCCAGCTTGGTCTACATAGTGAGTTCCAGGATAGCTGGGGCTACAGGGAGACCCTATCTCAAAAAGACCAAAAAAAAAAGGGGGGGGGGGGCTGGAGAGATGGCTCAGCGGTTAAGAGCACTGACTGCTCTTACAGAGGACCTGGGTTTGATTACCAGCACCCACATGATGGCTACGAACTGTCCTTAACTCCAGTTCCAGGGGAATCCGAAGCCCTCTTCTGACCTCCACGGCATTGCATGACAGGGGTGCACTCACATACATGCAGGCAATATACTCATACACATAAAAATAATAAAAATATATTTTTTTAAATCTGTAAAACTGAACCAAAATGAAAACTAGAAGTCCATTTAGAAAAAAACAAATACTGCTGAAAATCACACAGTACAGTAAAAATGAAGATAAATTTTAAATTATTCTTTATTTTAATAACTCAGATTTATAATTTGCTGATGTTTTCTTTTAGTAGTTGCAGTAGAAGTGTAATTATTTTTAGTGTCATTTGAATGGCCCAACAGACATACTATGGAACATCCACAATCAAAGAGTAACTTTAGGTTAGCCATTTGGCTTTCAGTGCTCTTCTGTTAGGAATTTTGTTGGCGTCATTGAGCTGCTGCTGTTAGACACCAGCAGAGGGAGTCCTTATCATGTTCTGCAGATTCTCAGTAAAAATATATATATAAATCTATACCAGGGTCTTTTGTATTTTACCCTCTACATTGTTATTTCTGTACCATTTATGTGTGTGAATTACATGATGTGGAGGTTGATTGTCAAGTCCCTTAGCTATCCTATAATGATTACTGAAAGAAGCATGGTTAAGAAAATCTCAATCTACCCAATGTAATTCATTGGTGTCTCTGGTGCAGGACCAGTTTGATGTGGTGTTGGTTACTTGAGAATGTTTTTAGTGATGTATGGGCATAAAATGTTTCTATGAAATTGAAAATGAGAATATATAATTGTGAATGAAATAAGGCTATCATTCTAAAAGTGGAAATATTTTTAGTGTACTGTTTATTCTAAGGTAAATTTTTAAAATTTTTATTTATGTGTTTGAGTATTTTGCCTGTATGTATGTAAGTGTACCCATGTCCTACAGTGCCCGCAGAGGTCAGAAGAGGGTGTTGGATCCCCTGGAACTGGAGTTACAGAGGGTTGTTAGCCACCACGCTGGTGCTAGGAACTGAACTCGGATCCTCTGCAGGACCACCCGGTGCTCTTAACTGCAGAGCCATCTCTCTAGGTCCCCCTCCCAGTTCTTTTTTTTTTTTTTTTTTTTTTTTTTTTTTTGTCTTTTTGAGGCAGGGTCTCCCTGTAGCCCCAGCTGGTCTGGAACTCACTATGTCGACCAGGCTGTCCTTGAACTCACAGAAATCTGCCTGCTTCTGCCTCCCAAGAGCTGAGATTAAAGGTGTGCACCACCACATCTGGCTAAGTCCCCCCAATTCTAAGATAATTTTGACAGATATATGAGGATATTAAGTAATTCCTACAATATATGAAATAATATAGTAAACATTCTTAACATCCTTGTGCTTCTGAGAAGAACACAGGCACATCAAATTACAGCATGAGACCACAGGAATTAAAGAAAAATCTCATGTAGTCAGTATAGCATTTAGTTTAAGTAGGGCCTCATATAATACCTTTGGGTGTCTGTGAATTCTGATGGTGAGAGACCATTATAGAAAATTACATTTAAGTCATATAACCAGACAGGCTGCGGTAGTCTGCCTTAAGTTTTAAGTTTGAAATAAGCAATTATTAGTACCTAAATAGTATTTTTGGCTTTTATAGATTTTACATATTTTCATAATGTAAATATTTTGTTCAAAACTCATACATAATTAATGCTAGATCATATTTTAAAGTTTATGACAGAAGAATACTTTTCAAAGGGTTCAACAAGATCAGAATATGAAAGGCCTACATACCCTTTTTCTTATGAAGGAGTTCATGTGGCTCTTGACTGATTAAAGATGGACATTAAGCTATAGAATGTCTACTGGAGAAATATTTTGTGAGTAAAGTCCCAAATAACGTATATGAGGTCACATGTGTTGTGTTGAATGAGTGTAGAGTGTAGCAAATTTTGTTTTTTCCTGTCTCTCAGAGCTATATTATTTAAATCCTTCCTGAAGTGGACTTCTGAGATCCTAATTATGTGTAGGTGACACATAATAATGTGTGGTCTGTAAACACCCCATAGAACCAGAGGACTTAGCCAGGAGGTCAGGTAGTGAACGTTCACAGCCTGGCTATGCTAGGGTAGTGGGGCAGGTTGCAAGAAACCAAAGAAAATACCAAGAAGCAGCTTGTGAGCAGAGACCAAAGTAGTTCAAAGGAAAAGCAGGAACTTAGCAGAGAAGGTCAGGTGGCAATAGTTGGGGCAGGTAGTGCCTCGTGGGGGTCCTGTAGCACCAGAAGTTCAGGCTGTGCTTATCCTCCACAGTGCTAAGATCCAGTGATGAATGGCTGGAACAAGAGCACTCAATCCCTCTCTCTGTACAGCGCTGCCTTTTAAAAAACAAAACAATTTTTTAATGTGTGTATATGTATGTGTGGACCTGTGAGCATGTGTGCTCTGTGACGGCTCCTGGAGTCTACCTTGTTGAGGCAGGGTCTCTCTTGTTTCTTTTGCTGTGTATTCGAGGCTGGCTGACTTGTAAGCTTCCAGGTGATTCTTCTATCTCCACTTTGCATCACATCTCACAGTAGGAGTGATGAGATTACAGATACATCCCACCATATTGAATTTTTTTTTTTTCTTTTCTTCTTTTTTTTGAGATGGGGTCTCTGTAGCCCCAGCTGGCCTTGAACTCACAGAGGTCTGCGGGTCTCTGCCTCCCAAGTGCTGGGATTAAAGCCGTGCACCACCACGCCCTTCTCCCTTATTTTTAAAAAAATATTTTATTTATTATTTTTATTTTATGTGTATTGAGTATATTGCCTGCATGTAGGTAAGTACACCCGTGTCATGCAATGCCCTCAGTGGTCAGAAGAGGCTCTGGGTAGTGCTACTTTACCATATTGCTTACTGTGGGGAGAGGTTTTATGTAAGCAATGACATCATTAGCTTGCTAGCTTGGCTTGCTTTTCTATGACGAAGCAGTGACTGATATTGGAGGAGCAGGGAGCAGGTTCCCGCTCCAGACGATAAAAGCTTGTCCTGTTTCCACTATACCTGGGATTAGCTCACCTTCCCTGGACATACCATTCTTGGCCTGCATAACCTACTTTCATTGCCTGGGGAAGACAAAGGGGCATTTCAGGAATATGACAGTTGATGTTGATGCCCTATTTTCCTCAGGGAGCATACTGGCAAAAAAGGGGATTAGAGTTCAGGTGAAGAATTACCTGGAACACCGTTATTTTAGAAATGCCAGAATGAACTGTGAATTATTGAAAAGAGGGAGCCTGCTGTTGCTAGTATTGGATGGCATAGCATGAGCAGAGAAGGACAGTGGGAGAGGGCAAATTGCTAAAGTGGCTGTGGCATGGCATGGACACATTTTCCCCAAACTCCAGGCCATAGCCAGTTTGCTGATGCCCAATTTAAGAGCAGGTTTCAATGAAAATTACAAGTCTCAGCTGCTTCTGTCTAAGTAAGCAGGTCTTGGTATGAATGCACTATACCTACCGTGCCATCCCAACCAGTCTCTGTCCTCTCCAGTTCTCTTTCAATCGGTATACAGTTCTTTTTTTTTTTTTCGGTCTTTTTGAGACAGAGTCTCCCTGTAGCCCCAGCTGGCCTGGAACTCGCTATGTAGACCATGCTGGCCTGGAACTCACAGAGATCTGTCTGCCTCCCAAGTGTTGGGATTACAGTATACAGTTCTTACAGTCTCTAGCGTGGGTATTCTTTGACATACTTGAAAGTGCTCTTGAACCATACTCATTCTCCTGGCCCAGGGCTTCTCCTGAGCTGTAATTTTCTCCTCTCCCTGCCTTTCCTTCTTAGTTTTCAGTGTTTTGACATTTCCATTTTCCCCTCTAGATAGGGATCAGAAGATGCAAGTCCCTACAGATAATACAGACAAGTCTGTTCAGGTCTATACATCTCGAGAGTGCCCAACTAAAGGGGAGAACTATTCTATTTGGTTCTAGTTTATTACTGCAATGGGGGATGGGGGCATATAGATCCCTTGTTACCAGATCTTGAGATAGGTTTTCTCAGAGACTAGAAATCTGATGATTTAGTGTGTAGTCCTTCATTGTTTGTTAATTTTTTTAGGCAAAATAATAAATTTATTACAGTGTAATTGGCAGATCTTGCTGACATATTCTCTCATTGTTTGAAAAAAATGTGAAAATGAAAAATAACTTTAAATATTATGCCATTAGAGGGGTCTTAAGGATCGGGCCTGGGTTAAAGTATTTCATTTTTTCAGAGAAAATCTGTGTGCAGATATATCCCAGTTGACATTCAGAGATGAGACTTGGTTGTAGCCGTGGAGGTGAAAGTCACCACCCAAGGCCTTTGGAATTTTGCTAGCCCTAAGTTCTACATGAGTAGAGGGCTTCACTGAAGGGCCAAGGAAAGTTCTCTGAAGCAGAAACAGGAGGTGACAAGAGACAGTGTCAGGCTGGGACTAGCTCGGTTGATACTGCTTGCCTGGCATGCAAGAAGTCCTGGGTTCCGTTCCCAGCACTGCGTAAAACAAAGTGTTGGTGGTGGCACTTGAGAGGTGGCCACAGGAAGGTCACGGGTTCAAGATCTTTAGATAGAGAGTTTGCAGCCAGCCTAGGATACATGAGACCCTGTCTCAAAAAAAAAAAAAAAAGGCCAACATTGGTGACAAGGCAGAGGGGGGGATTGAGATAAGGTAGCTTGTGGGGAGGGGACCTCTGCAAGACCAGCATGCCCTATGTATATACCCACCCCTTGAAGCAGCAGCAGTAGGTAGATCTGATGGAAAATTCCAGTGGTTTCGAGAATCTGAAAACAAGGTCAAGCAGGATTGTTCACTGAATCCTAGAGTTCCATGTGTCAGGGAGGTACTGGTGCTGGGTTCATGAGGGGTCCCAGCCAACAGCCCCAGCTCCTGGAAGTCACAGTCAGGCTGTCTTTCTAAAATGGTGGCCTCTAACTAGGACTGATGAGCTCCCATGATAACACTGGAGTTGGTCACATGGGCCCCATAGTGACCAGCCCAGAACTGTGTATCCTGACCCCAGGATTTGAAAGACACAAACTGGACACCCTTCTTGATGTTAGAGAACACCTGGGTGACCTGAAGCTAGACATTGTTCCACAGGTCAGTAGGGTTAGGCACAACCAAGAATCCATCGAGGACAGTCTGGTCAGTATCTACAGCCACTGTTGTGTCAGGCTCCCCGACAGTCTGAGACAACAGTCTCCACCCTACCACTGTCTAGTAGTTCTGGCCACAGACCCTCTTCCTGAAGGTCCAAGACCTGCTTCTTGCAACACTAACCGAAGGATGTCATGAAGCAGGTCTGCAAGGGGGTCCTAGGGACTGGCTTCTTGTTCTCCACCCAGCTGTCTGTGCCATGGTGCACCATCCATTTGCGTAGGCCTTCAGTGGCTCCAGGTGTGCCCCATCTCTACCACAGATAATAAAAGATTCCCTCCCCTCTCCCACCATCTCCCCTGGGGCCCTGCCCCTCCAGTTACTCTAACCCCTCTCACTGGCTCATTTGTTTTCCTGACTCTCAGCCTCCTTCATTGTTTATATGTTGGCATTTAATTTGGATTTAGCATGCTGACCAGTGTAGGACTTTGCAACCTGTGCTCTAGATCTTCTAAGTTTGAAGTTTAGAATCAAGCCCAGTATTAAGTATTTGATAAAAGGAGGTATCTCTTTGCATCCTATTGGTCGTGCTCCATTTATTTCTTAGAATTGCTTTCTGCTCACTTTGACTTGTTCCCTGTAAAATTGTATCATTTCTGAATAGCACCTTGATCTGAGTATTCCTTATGCTTTTCTTCTCCACACAGAGGAAAATGTGCACATCTGTAGATTTGACTGCAATATTTGGGGCCCCTACATTTTATTAGAAACAAATCCTATAACTCATACGTTGGTGATTAAAATTATTTAGGACAAAATCTTGATGTTGTAACAGTTCAAAAAGGCCCTAGATGCTCACCACTGCAAAAAAGTCTTCAGTCACTATTATATTTTACATATATATCCATTATGAACTTTGTGTTAAATTTGTGTGTGTGTGTGTATGTTTAAAAGTTTTTTAAAATATTTATTATTTTCCCTGGGTGTAGCAAGTAAGCAGTGATCCCCCATGGGATCCTGCCTCCAGGTTCCTTCCCTCAGTGATGGATTGTCACTGGAAAGAGAAAACTTTTCCTACCCAAGTTGGTTTTGCCGTCTCAAAAAGACAAAAAAAAAAAAAATTATTATTTTTATTTTATGTTTATGAGTGTTTTGCCTGCATGTATGTAAGTGCACTATATGTGTGTAGTGACTGCAGAGGCCAGAAGAGGGTGTTGGATCCCTGTAACTGGAGTTATGAACAGTTGCTAGCCACCATGTCAGTGCTGGGAATTGAGCTTGGATTCTCTGCAAGAGCTGCTCTTAACCACGGAGCCATTGCTTCAGTCCCCCCACATTTTTTTACATTTATTTTCTGTGTATGAGTATTTTGCCTGCAAGTATATAAGTATACCATGTGTTTGTACTGACTGCAGAGGCCAGAGGAAAGTGTCAGATCCCCTGTAACTGGAGTTACAGATGGTTGTTAGCCACCATGTGGGTGCTGGGAACCAAACCCAGGTCCTCTGCAAGAGCATTCTTAACTGCTGAGCCATCTCTCCAGCCTTCGGTGGTTGTTCTTTTGTTTTTATAGGAACCAGTCACCTTGTATTGGCCAGTAGTTCTCAGTCAGGATATAGAAAGATTCAGCCCAAGTTGAATTCTTCATGCGTGGGAGCTGAGCTGGTAGTCATGTTCAGGAGTACAGTGCCTTCCAGACTGACCCCTTTTTAGCGGTATTTGCATAGCTGCTTATATTTGAGTTCCTTGTAAGAAAGACAGTAGCTGAAGAGCATGTAGGCTGTTCCCTTTCCTTACGATGATGTTCATGTACCTGTTGTAACTTCTCTGAAATGCTCCAGCAATGCCTTTGGTGGTGAAATCCCCCACCAGGGTCCAGCTTGGCAGGTCTCCCAGTTTAACCTCAATGAGCTTCTTCTCCTTCATGGTACAGGTTATACCATCTTGGAGTCCTGGTGTCCACCCTTTTTTTTTAAAGACAGAATGTCAGTGGGGCATGGTAGCGCACACCTTTAATCTCAGCACTCAAGAGGCAGAGACGGGTAGATCTCTGTGAGTTTGAGGCCAGCCTGGTCCACCTAGTGAGTTCCAGACCAGCTGGGTCCACTGGGAGACCCTGTCTCAAAAAGACCAAAAAAAAGAAAGAGAGGATGTCATATAGCCCAGGCTAGCCTTGAATGTGCTATGTAGCTAACCAAGGAAGAGCTTGACCTTCTGATCTTCCTGCCTCTGTCTTGCAGGTGCTGGAGTTATAAGCATGTACCACATCTGGTTTATACCATATTGGGGATCAAACCCAGGGCTTGTGTATGCTAGGCAAGCACACTACCAACTGGACTACATCTCCAGCCCCCTTTTTGTTTTAAGAGAGCCCAGGCTTGCCTTGAACTCTCGTGTACTTCCTCCACCTCCAAATCCTGGATTACAGGTCTCTGCCACCACATCTGGTTATGTATTATGCTTCTAAAGTTGTGAGAAATGGCCAGTAGGGAGAAAGAATTTGCTAGAGAGTTCATTAACATGCTAGAGAACAGTAATTTTGCTTTCTGGGTTCTAGATGGCCTAGATCTAAAATGCTTCTTATCCCCCTCTTTTGTTTCCCTTTTAGGCTTTCAAAATAAAAATAGAGTTGCAATCTTGGCAGAACTGGACAAAGAAAAAAGAAAATTACTTATGCAGAACCAGTCTTCAACAAATCATCCTGGAGCTAGGTATTGACTGTTCTTTGGGGGTGCTATTATAAGAGGAAAATGCTGCTTAGCACACTTTGGTGGCTTCCAGTCACTGTCAGAATTACATCTACATTAAAAAAATTTTTTTTAAATTTTTATTTAATGTGTATGAGTGTTTTGCCTGCACATAAAGTGCACTCATGTCACACAGTGCCTGTAGAGGCCAGAAAATGGCATCAGATTCCCCTGGAACTGGGATTATGGATGGTTATTAGCAGCTGCATGGATGCTGGGAGTTGAACCTGGCCAGTGCTTTTATAACTACTCCAACCCCTAGGTCTGCATTTTAACCCTCCTCCCCTTACCAATACACTAGTTTTGCTCAGTCTGTGCATTCCTGTTATAGCATGTGTATTTCATCTTAATTGCTGTTGTCTGTGAGCTTTGTCCTGCCTGACTGTATATCCCTCGTGCTGAGCACAGAGCCAGGTAGCTAGTAGCTGCTCGAGAATCTAGTGACTAAGCGATTGCCAATTTGTTTTTTATTTATAATTGTTCAACCTATATGCAACATAGTTGTGATAATTTAAGTTTAATTATTATTCAAACAATAAAGGTTTTACTATTGATGAGCATTATGCTGTTTGTTTTAATGGTTTTTAGAAATAATGTTCATGAGGATAATGATAGATGGCGTGTACAATCTGTTTAAAAGTAGGGGAAGGGCTGGAGAGATGGCTCAGTGGTTAAGAACACTGGTTGTTCTTGCAGAAGACCCGGGTTCAAATCCCAGCACCCACATGGCAGCTAACAATTGTCCATAACTCCAGTTCCAGGGGATCTGACAGTCTCTCCTGTCCGCCATGGGCATTGCATGACATGGGTGCACTTACCTACATGCAGGCAATACACACATACACATAAAATAAAAATAATAAAATATTATTTAAAAATAGTAGGGAACAGTAAATTATGCATCTAAAAAAATAGACTACTTCAAATTCTATAGAAATACCATAGGTTTTTTTTTCATCTAGGTAAATGCTGATAATGGGAAGAGAGGCGGGAAAAACTTTGACTCTGCAAAATCTTTTTAAAATTTTATTTTTTTAAGTTCCATGGAATAGGGTCTTGCTATGTAGCCCAGGCTGGCCTGGAACTCAAGTTTTCTCCTGTCTTGTGTCTTGTGACATGCTGAGATTATAGGTGTGCACCACCATTCCCTGTTTAAAAGATCTTTGTATCTCAATAAAGAATATGTAGTGAAACCAAAATGGCTCAAGGGACAAAGGCACTTGCTGCCAACCCTGACAGCCTGAGTTAGATCCCCAGCACTCACATGGTAGAAGGAGAGAACTGACTCCTGCAGGTGGTCCTCTGACCTCCAAGTACATGTATGTCTTGGCATGTGCTCTCATGTGCAGGTACATACACATACCTCTACACATGAATTTTTTTTTTTTTTTTTGGTTTTTTTGAGACAGGGTCTCTCTGTAGCCCCAGCTGACCTGGAACTCACTATGCAGACCAGGCTGGCCTTGAATTCACAGAGATCCACCTGCCTCTGCCTCCCGAGTGCTGGGATTAAAGGCGTGCACCATCACGCCAGGCTATTTTTGTTTTTTTATGTGTATGTGTGTATTGCCTGCATGTAGGTAAGTGCACCCGTGTCCTGCAATGCCCTTGGAGGACAGAAGAGGCTGCCAGATCCCCTGGAGCTGGAGTTACAGACAGTTGTTAGCTGCCATGTGGGTGTTGGGTTTCGAACCCAGGTCTTGTGCAAGAACAACCAGTGTTCTTAACTACTGAGCCATCTCTCCAGCCCCCATAAAACAGATTTAAAAAAAAAAGTTAAACAATCCATAATGAAAAATTTGACTGAGCCATAAGGCCATGAAGGTTTGGGAGTTAACTCAGTGGTTCCATATATGCTTAGTGTGCATGAAGCCTTGGGTATGATGTCTAGCACCCCCTCCACCACAAAACGAAAGCACCAGATGAGATGACATCTCTTCAAAATTATTGTACAACATGGTGATTATAGTTAATGATGGTGTATACTTGGAAATTACTGAGTTGATCTTGGATGTTCTCATTATTAAAAAATCAGTATAGGGGCTGGAGAGATGGTTCAGCAGTTAGGAACACTGGTGGTTCTTGCTGAAGACCCGGGTTCGAATCCCAGCACCCACATGGCAGATAACAACTCTCTGTAACTCTAGTCCCAGGGGATCCAACAGCCTCTTCTGACCTCCGCGGGGATTGCACAACATGGGTGCACTTACCTACATGAAGGCAGTACACGCATACACATAAATCTAAAATAATAAAATTTTTTAAAAAATCAGTATATTGGAGAGGGTGTGTGGGAGGAATTGAAGTGGGGAAAGAAGGGGTGGAAATGATGTAAATACAGTACTCATGTATGAAATTCTCAAAAAAATAATGATAAAGCAATCAGTATATGAAGTGATGGATAGGTTATTGAGCTTGATCTAACCATTTTGTTTTAATTTATTTATTTATTTGGTCTTTTTGAGACAGGGTCTTTCTGTAGCTCCTGCTGACCTGGAACTGGCTATGTAGACCAGGCTGGTGTTGAATTCAGAGATCTGCCCGCCTCTGCTAGGATTAAAGGCGTGTGCCACCACGCCTGGCTTGCTTTTTTCTATTTTTTTTTCTTTTCTTTTATGTGTATGAGTGTTTTGCTTAAACACACTGCTGTGCAAGTGCCCCTGAAGACTGGAAGAGAGTGTTGGATCCCGTGGAACCGTAGTTATGGATGGTTGTTAGCTGCCATGTGGGTGCTGGGAATCCAATGCCATCCTCTGCAAGAGCAGCCAGTGCTCTTAACCACCAACCCATCTCTCCAGCCCCCCCCACCCCTTTTCCCTTGGTTTTTCTGAGATAGGTTCTCACTATGAAGTCCTAGCTGGGCCTGAACTCACTATGTAGACCAGGCTGGCCTCAATTTCACAGAGATCCACTAGACTCTGCCTCCCAAGTGCTAGGAGTAGAGGTGTGCACCACCACACCTGGCTCAGATTTAACCATTTTGCATTGTATACAAATACCGGAACATTGGACAGCATAAATATATACAATTTTTATGTGTCAACTTTTAAAAAAGATAATTTACTACTATAAAAATGTGCCAATCTAATAAATTCCCTTGAATAATTAAAAAAAAAAAAAAAGGAGGACAGGATGTCTTTGCCTTTCGCAGCCAAGTAACCGAGATTTCCATTTTAGCATCGCCCTCTCCAGACCCTCTCTTAATAAGGACTTCCGGGATCATGCTGAGCAGCAGCATATTGCAGCCCAACAAAAGGCCGCTTTGCAGGTGAGCAAAGTGTAACTGAGACTCTTGTCTCATTGGAGATTTCCTGGGTCCTAGAAGCCAGCACAGTAGTTATTTCAGTCTAGCAATACCAATAAAAATGTTCCACACATAATTGCAGTGGTTTGCTGATGTTCAGTTGTGCCCAGAGGAATTGAAGGGCAACATGGTAGTAATGAAAGTATCTTTTATGGTGTTAACATAGTCATGACTGCTCTCTGCTGTACTTTACCTAGGGACTGCCTGTGCACAGAAGTATCTGGAGATACAGAATGATCTAGAAAATTGAATTGGCTAGTTTAATAGTACCATATTTCAAATTTGCCATGCCTTTACTTTGTCTGATACTCTTATTGGCTTACTATTTGGGTTTTTTTTAATGGCCTGCACTGCTTGCATAGGAAATATTTAAAGGCTCATACTGTATGATTATGAATGTCCATATTCCAGCTTGAAAATGTTCTTCAGAGTAATAAAGTTTAGTATTACATTCATCTTGGATAACTTATGATTCCCAGAGACCTTGAATGAAACATTCTTTTTCTTGTTTGTTTTTGGTAGGCATAGCTTTTTCTTTTTAAAAGAATCCCAGAATTGGAAGAGATATTATAAAGATCAAGATCAATTCATTTTAGATGAATAAAAGTAGTCCTTTAAAAAAATTTTTTTTATTTATGTTTTATGTATATGTTTTGCCTGATGTAAGTACAACACATGTGTACAATGACCAAAGAGACCAGAAGAGGGTATCAGATTTCCTGGAACAGGAGTTACAGGCAGTTGTTAGCTATCATGTGAATGCTGGGAACTGAACTTGGTTCCCTGAAAGAGCAACCAGTGCTCTTAACTACTGAGCAATCTCTCCAGCCCCAGTCCTCCTTTTTTTTCGTAAGAGGGAAGTTACTGGTGGTTTTCTCATAGTATATTCCAGCATTCTCCATGAAAGGATGGTGGATTTTAACCTTCAGCAATCTCCCTCTCCTACCAACTGCTACTCTTCTTTCTCAAGCTTTTTGTTTTGTTGACCAAAAGATGGCTTTGGAATTTTTGCTGCTAGTTTTTTGTACTCCAAACAACAAAGCAATTCATGTTTTTAACTCATCTGCTGACGGAAGAGAATCACACTGGAGATGAAGGGGATGCTATTGAGCACCTGATAGAACATGTTGATCTGAACTTTGTGTTACTGTCCATCTTTGTAAACAGCATAAGAACTTGTGATTTTATAAAATATTTTTAATTATGTGTATGTATGTCAGTTTGTGGGTACATGCATGTATATGCAGGTGCCTGCAGAAGTCAAAGGAGGGTGTCAGATCTTCTGGAACTGGAGTTATAGTTAGTTGTAAGATATCTGACATGAGTGCTGGGAATAGAACTTGGGTCCTCTGCAAGAGCAGTATGTGCTCTTAACTGCTGAGCCTTCTCTGTAGTCCATAAGCACTGTCTTATAAATAAATTAAATCTTACGCATCCAGAAAGGATAAGTAATTTTAATGCCTTGGTTGAAAAATTGCGACTCTTAATAGCTTAATTGCTTTTTTTTTTAATCTTTCTCAGCATGCTCATGCACATTCATCTGGATACTTCATAACTCAAGACTCTGCATTTGGGAATCTTATTCTTCCCGTTTTACCTCGCCTTGATCCAGAATGAAGAAAGTATCTGTGATAAAAGGGACTTTGTAATATCAAAAGTCAAAGCTCTCATTCAGCTTTATACAAACTCTTGACATTCAGAATTTTGGTGAACTTAATTTTTATTTCTTCAAAGAGAGGAATATGTAAGTGAAAGTGAGAAGAGAAGGGGAGCTAGGATGGTGAGAACTTTGGAAGCTGTGTTGTCTGAGGAACTGACTGTGCTGACCATGACTGTAATTTTGTTGTACTGCATTTGATTTTTCACTCCGAGTCCGACTCAGAATTGGTCAGTCACACGTATCAGCACCCGCCTTCAGCAAGTTGGACTAAATGTGTCATGTCCACAGTAGACATTCAAGAACCATTTAGATATAGCTCCAGTGGTACTCCACCTGCCTGGCATGCACGAAGCCCTGAGTTTGGTCTCCACTACACACACCAGCCATGGTGGCTCATGCCTGTAATCCTGGCACTAGAGAAGTAAAGGCAGGAAGATCAGAAGTTTATATCTTTGACTATATAGTGAGTTCAAGACCAGCCTGGGGTACAGGAACCATTTATAATCCTATCTCTAAAGAAATAAGGATACTTTTTTAAAAAATGTGAGCAATAGACTTAAATTACATGCATTGTGATTTACAGGATTGATGTCTGTAACTTGAGTTTAGAGGCAACTTACCAGATTCTTTGAATTCAAAACTAGTTCTACTCTGAATTTTAAAAGAAAACCCAAAATAAGACCAAATTACCAACAGATCTTCAGTATCTTTTTCAAATAATCATAAATGATGTGACTAAATACTGTTACGAAAAACAGCTAAGTAATACAATGGCTTTAAATTTGTGCATATTCTCTTAGTATTGCTACATAACTTGTGTGAT